TTCCAAGTAGCTGGAATTACAGGGGTGTGCTACCACGCCCGCATTTGCCCATTTTTAAATCAGATTTTTTGTTGTTGTTGTTTTTCTGGGGGGGAGGCTGTTGAGATATTTGAGTTTCTTGTATATTCTGAATATTAATTCCCTGTCAGATGAATAATTTGAAAATGTCTTCTCCTGTTGTATAGTCCTTCCCCCAGTGAGTGTTCTTGACAACTCTGTCAAACATTAGTTGACTGTAGATAAGTGGATTAATGTCTGGGTTCCCTATCCTGTTCCATTGGTCTAGGTGTCTGTTTTTATGCCAATTCCATGCTGTTTTGGTTACTACAGCTTTTCAGTATACTTTGAAGTCTAGTAATGTGCTACGTCCAGCTTTGTTCTTTTCGCTCAGGATTGCTTTGACTACTTGAGCTCTTTTTTTGTTCCATACAAATTTTTAAAATATTTTTTTTCTATTCCTGTGAAGAATATCATTGGCATTTTTATAAGAATTGCATTGAGGCCGGGCTCGGTGGCTCAGCCTGTAATCCCACGCTTTGGGAGGCTGAGGTGAGTGGATTGCCTGAGCCCGCGGGTTCGAGACCCGCCTGGGAAACTTGGCGAGACCTCATCTCTACAATAAATCAAAAAATTAGCCAGGCGTGGTAGCATGCGCCTGTAGTTCCAGCTACTTGGAAGGCTGAGGCGGAAGGATCGCCAGCGCCCAGGAGGTCGAGGCTGCGGTGGCCGGGAGTGGCCACTGCACTCCAGTCTGGGCAACAGAGTGAGACTCCAACTGGGAAAAAAAGAATTGCATTGAATCTGTGAATTGCTTTGGGTGTAAGAGGTATGCTTTCTAATTCCACAGTAGGCTGTGGCAGGCAGGATCATCATGTTGTAAACAGCTTTGAGTGTAAAGCTAATTCACCTGGCTCTGTCATGTTACGACAAAGGGGTCCAGTGAGCACATCTTTGAGGACAAAACTCAACTTGCCTTTGCTGAGTGTGCATTTCTACTTGTGATCATGTGACTTTGTGTTGAGGCTGAGATAACTTTCACTATGGCCGTGGGGAGCCCCTGAAGGCTTTTGAGGATGGCGCCATGTGGGACTCTAAGATTAGCTTGGAGTGTGTAGGGCTGAAGAGCATGGAGACCAGGAGGAGGAAATGTCCTGATATGGGGGACAGGGCACCGGCAGTGGAAATGGGAGAACTGGGTGGATGCGGGGGGGGAGGAGTATTTGAAGGTGACACCAATCCTTGCTGGTGACATGGGAACAAAGAGAGCTGGTTGAGGGGTCGGCAGAATGGTGTTGGCATTTGATAAGTCCCACTGGGGTGGCAGCAGTGTATCTAAGTAGCAGGAAGGAATGGCCTCAGACCTGAACTTGGGAGAGAGACAAAGGCTGTTGATTCAGATCTGGTCATGATTGTCCACTCAGGAATGACAAGTCAGACTATAGGAGATAGCAATAAGGTTGGTCTCCCTGTAAGAACTGGCTCTCTCTGATTATCCCATCCTCATCAACAATCACTCTCCCCACCCCACCCAAGTGATATGACCCTGGTTCAGGGATTGAGAGGGAACAGAGTTCCTTAAGTAATTCAGTCCTAAAAATTCTGGCTTCTAAAAGCCAGAAGCATCAAAGTTCTCCGTTTCCCCAGGCTCTGGCTTAGATTCCATGATCCACTATCATGAGGTATAGGCCAAAGAATATGAAAGAAAGAAAGAAAAAAACCCCAGTACCAAGAGGTTCTAATCCTATTTCAGCACCAGACCAGTCAGGTGACCTTGAGCAAGTCACTATTCCTCTTTGTGCTTGTTCTCCTTTCAGTTAAAATGCCAGGGTTGGTCCTGGAAGAGATCCTGGTTTTCTGGGGGGTTTGTTTATTTGTTTATTTGTTGTTTGTGTTTCCCCCTGCTCGTGATTTTTTTTTTTTTTTTTTTTTTTTTTTTGAGTTGGAGTCTCACTCTGTCCCCCAAACTGGAGTGCAGTGGCCGCTCCCGGTCACCGCAGCCTCGACCTGCTGGGCTCCCGCGATCCTTCCGCCTGAGCCTTCCGAATAGCCAGAATTACAGGCATGTGCTACCACGCCCGGCTGATTTTTTGATTTATTGTTGAGATGAGGTCTTGCCTGCCCAGGCGGGTCTCGAACCCGCGGGCTCAGGCAATCCACTCACCTCAGCCTCCCAAAGGTGCGGGATTACAGGTTGAGCCACCGAGCCCGGCTTTTTTTTTTTTTGAATTGGAGTCTCACTCTGCCGCCCAGGCTGGAGTGCAGTGGCACACTCACAGCCACCCCAGTGTCAACCTACCAGGCTCTGGCAAACCTTCCACCTCAGCCTTCCAAGTAGCCGGAACTACAGGTGTGCGCTACCACGCCAGACTAATTTTTTATTGATTGTAGAGACGAGGTCTTGCCAAGTTGCTCAGGCTGGTCTCAAACCCACGGGCTCAGGCAATCCACTCACCTCAGCCTCCCAAAGTGCTGGCATTACAGGCTGAGCCACCAAGCCCGGCCCCAGTTATGGCTTTCAAATCAAATATTAGCAACTACTACTATTTACCAGCAAGACTCACAGATAAAACAATGAATGAACAAGTGGGAGTTGCAAATGAAGGGGAATATCTGAAGATGGATGACCATATTTGGTTTGACAGTCTTGTTTCTGGAGACTTCATGGTATGGTATTCTATTTCTCTCACAATCCCTCCAAAGCTAAGTTCCAGTGGCATTTCTGGATGCTTCCTAGAGGACTCTAGAACTTCTCAGTGCCTGTAACCTGTAGAGACTGGAAATTTACTGTACTCAGCACTCTCCAAGGACTTCTCCAGTACTAAGCTTTCATTTTCTCAAGAGGATTTCCTGAGCCAATCTTCAGGAGTGCACGCAGAACACTATGCCTTCCACTCAGTAACTCAGGGGTCCCTAACCTCGGGGCCATAGACTGGGACCAGTCCGTGATCTGTGAGGAACCAGCAGCACTGCAGGACGGTGAGCAGCGGGCAAGTGAGGGAAGCTTCATCTGTATTTATAGCTGGCCCCATCACTCACATTACCACCTGAGCTCCACCTCCTGTCAGACCAGCGGTGGCATTCGCTTCTCAAAGGAGCACAAACTCTATTGTGAACTGCACATGCGAGGGATCTAGGTTGTGTGCTCCTTGTAAAAATCTAATGCTTGATGATCTAAAGTGGAGCTGAGGCCGGGCTCGGTGGCTCAGCCTGTAATCCCGCGCTTTGGGAGGCCGAGGTGAGTGAATTGCCTGAGTTCGTGGGTTTGAGACCCGCCTGGGCAACTTGGAGAGCCCTCATCTCTACAATAAATAAAAAAATCAGCCGGACGTGGTAGCGCATGCCCGTAATCCCGGCTACTCGGAAGGCTGAGGCAGAAGGATCGCCGGAGCCCAGCAGGTCGAGGCTGCGGTGGCCGGGAGCGGCCACTGCACTCCAGTCTGGGCAACAGAGTGAGACTCCAACTCAAAAAAAAAACAAAAACAAAAAACAAACAAACAAACAAAAAACAATAGCAGTGAGGTCTGACTGCAAAGACACCATAATAAATCAATTGCTTGCAGACTCATATCAAAACCCTATCAGCGAGCGAACTGTGAGCTGATGTACTTCAGTTGTACAGCTGCATCTGATGGTGGGCATTAAGTCAGAATCTGGCATTTATTCTAGTCCACACACGGACTAAATTTTATTTACCACTTCTGTCTGTGCCTCTTTTTTTAATGATGAGTTATATAATTATTTTATCACATATTACAATGTAATAATAATAGAAACAAAGAGCACAATAAATGTTACACGCTTGAATCATCCCAAACCAGCCCCCTTCTCCCCACCCCACAGTCTGTGGAAAAATTGTCTCCCATGAAACCGGTCCCTGATGCCAGAAAGGTTGGGGACCACTGCATTGACTCATATAATCCCCAGAGAATTCTCCCAACAGCCTTATGAGACAAATACTATTATTATATTCATTTTACAGATGAGGGGACTGAGACTCAAATAGGGCTCATGGCTCCCCAAGGTCACACAGCTAGTAGGTGACAGTTAGAATTGGAACCTAACAATCTGATTCCATAGCTCCTTCTCTTACCCAATATGTCAGTAGCTCTGTCACTAATGCTGTCACCAAATATCTTCAGCTCTTCCTCGGACACACGGTGAGACTGACCTTCCCTACCCACTTTAGCCAATGATGGGTGAGCAGAAGTATAACAGTTGCCACTGCCACATTCCCTTTCCTTCTCTAATAGTTGTAGAAACACAGTGAAGAAGCCTCCTCAGCCTAGGTCCCTGAACAAGGATAATGTGGAGCCAACACCTGCCCTTCCACACCCAGCTGGCTTGCAATGAGCATGGAATGTGAATGAGAATTACGCTTTGCCTTTTTTTTTTCTTTTGAGTTGGAGTTTCACTCCGTGGCCCAGGCTAGAGTGCAGTGACACGTTCACAACCACCCCAGTATCGACCTGTTGGGTTCTGGCGATCCTTCCGCCTCAGCCTTCCAAGTAGCAGGAACTACAGACACATGCTACTGCGCCCAGCTAATTTTTAATTTATTGTAGAGACAAGGTCTTGCCAAGTTGCCCGGGCTGGTCTCAAACCCGTGGACTCAGGTAATCCACTCGCCTCGGCTTCCCAAAGTGCAGGATTACAGGCTGAGCCACCGAGCCCGACCCCGTTGTCATTTTTTAAGCCACTGAGATGTGGGACTGGCTACTGTGGCATAGCATAGCTCACTCTGACTAATCCGATGCTATGCTGTCTCTTGCTGATTACCTTTGGCTTCAGGCCCCAAGCTGGACTTCTCCCAACCCCCTGGAAACATGGCTCCACATTCCGATTTGAAAAGCAGCAAGAGAAGATGAGAGTCCGTCCTCCAAACGTGGAAGTGAGGACGTGTTTTGGGAGCTATGCCCATGCTCTGGGACAGAGGTTATATTGAATGAAATCCCCACCCAGCCCTGGAAGGCCACGAAAAGACACTCAAGCTTCAAGAAACGTCATGCTTCTTTCCCATACTCATTTATTGGCTCTCCTTAATTTTATTCGCCATTTTAAAAGTAGGAACGACTGGGCTGGCAGGAGGAGGACCGGACTCCCAAGTCCTGGGGGCACTGCAGGCTGACTATGACCTTGCAGGCCTGGATCTGCACATCCTCCTCAGGGTGGATGACCAGGGCAAGCAGTCGGTCTGCCAGTCGTGAGTCTTCTCCAAAGAGGGACTCGTGCAGGGACTGCTCATTGTAATGCCACTTGACAGCGCGGTAGTGGGGTGCATTCCGACCCTCACTCAGCCGCTCAGCAAACACCAGTACCTCGAACAGGAGACTCCCTGGCTGTGTGGACTGGAACAGGTTTAGGAAGTCAGAGTGAACCTGCGATGGGCATGGTGAGAGAAGGGGAATGAAATCCCAAGCGAGCTCTAATCGTATTACCCTTTCAGAACTTGTATACTTTTATCTTCCTATTTCCTCAACTCAACATATGAGTACCTAAATTTCAGACTCAACTGTATAAAAATTTTTTTAGTTTTCCTTTCATTATCATTTTTTTTCTTTTTTTGAGTTGGAGTCTCACTCTGTCACCCAGGCTGGAGTGCAGTACCAAGTTTACAGCACACCGCAGCCTCAACCTGCTGGGCTCTGGAGATCCTTCTGCCTCAGCCTTCCAAGTAGCCGGAACTACAGGCATACGCCACCATGCCAGGCTAATTTTTTGATTTACTGTAGAGATGAGGTCTCGCCAAGTTACCTGGGCTGGTCTCGAACCTGTGGGCTCAGGCAATCCTCTCACCTCGGCCTCCCAAAGTGCTGGGTTTATAGGCATGAGCCACCACACCCGGCCCTTATTATCATTCTTTAACTTAATTGCACTGTGATCATAAAACATGGAATATTGATTCTGGGAAGGTCACTGAGACAAACTTTAAGGTTCAGTGTGTGGCTAATGTCCATAAATATTTTGTCTGCACTTGAGAGGAATGTGAATTTAATCATTGTAGGGTGTTTTAGGAACATCTAATGGTTCAAGCTTGTTTGTTTTATTCACAGCAAGAATACCTCACTAGTTTTAGTTTTTCATCTATCCATTGCTGAAAGAGTAGTTAAAAATCTTTAAAATCTTCCACTGTGGTGGTAGATGTATTCATTTCTCCTTATAATTCCATCAAGTTTTGCTACATATATTTTAAGATTATGCTATTACATGTATACAAATTTAGAGTTGCTTTATCATTCTGGTATACTGAACCACTGATTATCACATAGTAATCCTTTCTATCCCTAATAATGCTCTTTGCCATAAGTCACTTCCCCCAATATTAAAATACCTACATTAACTTTTCTTTTGTCTTCTGTGTTCCTAACTCTCAGACTTCAGAAAGCCCCTCAAAAGAGAATGCCCCTCCCAACAAAATGGATTGTCATTCTACTAGGGGAACAAAAGAAGGGATGTTTTCCAGTGCATTTTGTGTAGAGGCAGGAGGAGGAATAAGACAATTCATCAGGGCTAAGTCGGTCTGGAGAAGCCATGGTTCTTCCCTCCCCAGCACCTAAGTTGGCAGTCATCAGCCCCTCTTCAATTTCTTTCTTTTTTTTTGAGTTGGAGTCTCACTGGGTCACCCAGACTGGAGCGCAGTGGCTCCCGGCCACCGCAGCCTCGCCTGCTGGGCTCCGGCGATCCTTCTGCCTCAGCCTTCCAAGTAGCTGGAACTACAGGCATGCGCTACCACGCCCGGCTGATTTTTTGATTTATTGTAGAGATGAGGTCTCGCTGCCCAGGCGGGTCTCGAACCCGCGGGCTCAGGCAATCCACTCACCTCAGCCTCCCAAAGGCGCGGGATTACAGGCTGACCCACCGAGCCCGGCTTCAATTTCTCTCTTACCTGGCAGTTGAGAATGTCATAGAGAAGGTCATTCTTCTGTGCCAGGTAGCTCAGCAGGCGTATGGCTTGCACCTGAATAAAGGAAACAGCAAAACATGAGAAAGTTGGCGCACATGGACCTGAGCAGGGACAACGTAAACCTCTGTTCCTCCCTCAAAGTGCTGTGCTAAGGCTGGTCAGGAAGGCAGGGCCTTGGTCACGGTCCTCGTGCACCTGTGCCAGGATGTAGTCTGACTGCAGGATCTCCATCAAGGCAGGCATCACCCGTCGCAGCTGCGGATGCACATAGTCAGGCAGCGGCAGGTTGTTGAGGAGTCTGAGGCCTGCAACGTGCAGCTCCGTGTCCCAGATGGTGGAGATGAGTTCAAGTACTTTGATGGAGTGCTCCTGGGGTGGGGGAAGAAACGGATCTGCTTTTATGTGGTGGTCCCCACCGCCATCCCAGCCTTTCATTCTCCACTGCCCACCCATAAGCCCTGGGCCAAACCCAATAGACAATTCTTTCCCCCTTGAATTCGCAGTATCACTTAACTATTTGACCACGCCCATCCCCTTTGGCTACTCTTTTACAGATTTCCTTCCTAGTTCGAGTTCCTAGTTTCTCTGCCCAACCTCTATCAACATCACTCCCTTGGTGATATCATCCACATCACTCCCTTAGTGATATCATCCAGACTCAGTATTAAAGACTCGACACAGCCGGGCTCGTGGCTCAGCCTGTAATCCCACGCCTTTGGGAGGCTGAGGTGAGTGGATTGCCTGAGCCCGCGGGTTCGAGACCCGCCTGGGCAGGCGAGACCTCATCTCTACAGTA